TTTGGTTTGGGGTTTGTTTGTTTTGTGTTTGTTTTTGTTTTTTTTCTTCCCCTGGCCTGGAGGCTTTTCACCAGCAAATCCTTTTGGAAGCTTTTTGGTTTTTTCTTTCCTTGAACTGTTTTGGTCTGTTTTTTTCTTCAGCCAGAGGAGCCCGCAGGCGTGGCCCTGGCCAGTCCAAACCCCAGAAAGACCAGCAAAAGAAGGGACAATAACGTCCACCAACTTCACCTGCTGTGAGGAGAAGACCCATGTCAGAAATCCAACAAGTTCCCAGGCTGCTTCACAAACTCTTTTCTCCCCCTTCCCAGAGAAAAATAAGGGCAGCTGCCATCTTTTCCTCTCAGCAAGGTGGGGATGGGGTGAAAGGTTCAATTTTCTTTCTTTTCCTGTGCTTTGTGGGTATCTTGCTTTGTTAATAAACAGTTTTACATTTTTTTCATTTTCATCCCGATATCCATTTCTGTCATTGTAAGGAGAAAAAGGAGTTATTGAAGCCCTTTCCCTCTAGAGGACACGCTCATTCTAGTATGTTTCCTCCTGAAATTTGTCTCCAAATTTGAGATACTAGGTCATCATGCTGGCAGCGTCCCCCTGCCAGGCACAAGAGGTACTGAGGGGAGCTGGGAGAGGGACCCTGCCCTGCAGCATGGGCAGTGGGCTGGGGTCAGGCCACCACCCTTCCCTCTGCTTCCTTGTCCTGCGCTGCCAGGAGAGTTCCTCAAACCCCTGGTTCTCAAGGGCACAAGTGGTGCCCATGCAGCTCAGGGCAGGCAGAAAGCAGGACAAGGAATGATGGAAGTGGCTGGGAGGTTTCTGTGGCTGGAGCAAGTGACAAAAGCCAGGGACCTCATTAAATCGGGGGAGCTGGCCAGACAGAACGCACAGCCAGCCAATATGATTAATGCAACGTTCTCCATCTATTTGAGAGAAGATGGCAGTTTTTATACACTTCTATATAGTTTACAGGTTACAAAGGCACTCTGATTGGCACACTAACATTGTTTACCTTTGCCTTAAGGTGGTCAGGCTTTTCACCCTGCAGCTCTACCCTAATTCACACTCGGATAGCTGATTACTTTGTAGTTACCTTAACATAATTTCTAACTGTGCCACAACTGAATTCTCACTGCATCAAAGGCTTCGAGACCCCATCAAGGCTGCCCATCAGGGCCTAGTCTGAGTGGGTAGCTCAAGTCTCACTCCAGACATAAATCATGCTCTCTGTCACTCAGAAATTCTGTAACAAGTGACAACTTGGCTACAAATAAAATTCAAATATCCTTATCTCTTCTCATCCTTTACAAATATCTATTAAAAAAGTAGAAACATCTCAGGTACTCTCAGCATCTTTGAAAATTTAAAAGAAAAAGGCTTATAATAAACTGGCCACTCAGCTCACTGAGAAAGTGGTTCTGGTTGAAGGGAAACAAAAGCAAATTAACATTTTTTACAAGATCCCTTTTGAGTTAAGTGCTCTGCTGCATCCTTTGCCAGGGCTGCCTTGAAGAAGCTGCTTCAGGTCAGCAACATAAAAGAGCCTAGGCTAAATTTGTTGTTGATAGCTTTTTTCCTTTATTGATCTGGTTTTCCAAAAGGTCCAACACACCCTGGACACTGTGCAATAAACAGGAATGTGCAGGAAACAGGAAAACCAGGGCAGCAAATTATAATCAATTCTCCAGCATCATCTAATCCTCACCCAGATTCAGTGAGGTTGTTCCAATGCCTGTGCTGCCATGGCCAGAGGGATGCACCAAGATCCAGAGGGATGCTGGTGCTCCCAGAAGGGGAGAAAGTTTATGGAAAGCGCCTGACCCTGCTCCGAGCTTTGCTGTTCACAGGGGGTTGCTGCACTGGCAGCCAGGAAGATACTCAGGCTGGAAGGTGTGTCAGCAGGATTCAGGGGATTCTTACCTAGTGCTGCTCATGAACTTGGAAAACCATAAATGACAAAAGCCAGCAGAGAGTAGTGGAGCTGGGAACAGGAGAAGCACCTGGAGATCAGGAAGGAGAGGGAAAGGGCAAAAAGGAGGAAAACCAAGGGAAGACAAAAAAAAAAAAAGAAAGGCAAAATTCACTTTTAAAGGGATTCATTGCTGAATCCAGCTCCTTTTTGTAAAGCCTAGTGAAGAACCTCAGATGCCAAAGGTTGAAATTGATTTTCCACCTTCAGCCTGACGTTGGTTAGTGTTTTATACACAAAGTACCAGACTGGTATAAAAGGTTGTGGGGATTTCCCAGGGGAAAGCAAAAGACAGCCTGCTCTGCCTTTTTTGTTTCAGCATTAAGAGACAAACAGGTGCAGGAGAAGAAGAAGCCCTGACCAAACCAGGACTCATTCCATGCACCTCAAAGAGAGCAGGAAGTGGCCTTGCACCAGTGGAAGCAAAATACCCAAAACACTAATCCAAGGCCCAGCCAGGACAGGACCTGACCCTGCTCTGCTCTCCCACCCCCACTTTTTGCCCATTCACTTGGTTCCACTTTGCTAACAAGAGGTGGAAACCACGGGCAGTTCTGGCAGATGCCAGAGGGTTCTTTCCATCCTCAGATTCTCCAAAAATGCCACATAGCTGGAGCCCCTGAGCTCTCTCCTGCACTCTGAGCTGGAGGAGGAGCTGCTTGGCCATCACTCAGCACCTCGAAGAGGTCCCCTAGTCCCAGCTAAGTCTTTCTCTGCCTGAAAAGGAAACAAAAAATGTCACCCTGACCCAGCTTGCTACCTGTTTCCTCCTGTGCTACCTCTGCTCCAAAACAAAAGTTGCTGAGTAATTGGGAAGATTTTGGCAATGCTTTTGCTCTGGACATGCCCTTCTGGCAGCATGCACAGACACACTCCTGCTGCAGACACTCTCCAGGGCTGCATGTGACAGCCTCCTCCCACAGCACTGCCTGGACTGGCAGCAGATTGCACATCCCTGGCATGAGCACAGAGGCAGTGGGAAGGAGGGAGGTGATGGAACCAGGACTCACTCCCAGAGGCAGTGCCAAGGTGGCAGCAAAGCCCAGCAGTAGCTTAAAAATTGCTTGAAAGCAATTCCCAGCTGAAAGGTGAGGCCATCAAGGATGGTTCCTTTGGGTAATCTGCTGCCCTGAGAGGGGCAAAGGCAGTGCCCATGGAGCTCAGCCCAACTAGGTGCACCGTCCCAGCCCAGCCAGGCACGGGACACCTGCTGGGGCAAAGGGCCCTGATGAGTGATCTGGCCAAAAGGGGTGACAAGGAAAAGAAAGAAGCAAAAATTAAAGGGTATGGAGATGCAGACCTGGACAACTGTCCTGGTTGAAAGACAGGTGTTTGCCAAGGAAGATGAGAACCTCCCTTGGAATGGACAAATTATCATAACCTTGGAATCAACGGGCTTTCAGGCAAAGAAATGGGGAAAGGAATAACAGTTCTTTAACAGCATATCTATACATCTATATATCTGTATCTTTTATATATATGTATGTGTGTGTGTGTGTGTAACAAGGCAAACAATCATAACAGCAGCAACAACAAACAGAAGCACAGCCCCGGTCCCAGCCCCGGTCCCAGACCCGGTCCTGGCCCGGAGCACAGACCCGGTCCTGGCCCGGAGCACAGACCCGGTCCCAGACCCGGTCCCGGCCCGGAGCACAGACCCGGTCCCAGACCCGGTCCCGGCCCGAAGCAGCACAGACCCGGTCCCGGCCCGGTCCCAGACCCGGTCCCAGACCCGGTCCCGGCCCGGAGCACAGACCCGGTCCCAGCCCCGGTCCCAGACCCGGTCCCGGCCCGGAGCACAGACCCGGTCCCAGCCCCGGTCCCAGACCCGGTCCCGGCCCGGAGCACAGACCCGGTCCCAGACCCGGTCCCGGCCCGAAGCACAGACCCGGTCCCAGCCCCGGTCCCAGACCCGGTCCCGGCCCGGAGCACAGACCCGGTCCCAGCCCCGGTCCCAGACCCGGTCCCGGCCCGAAGCACAGACCCGGTCCCAGACCCGGTCCCAGCCCCGGTCCCAGACCCGGTCCCGGCCCGGTCCCAGACCCGGTCCCGGCCCGGTCCCAGACCCGGTCCCAGAGCCGGTCCCGGCCCGGTCCCAGACCCGGTCCCAGACCCGGTCCCAGACCCGGTCCCGGCCCGGTCCCAGACCCGGTCCCAGAGCCGGTCCCAGAGCCGGTCCCAGAGCCGGTCCCAGACCCGCTCCCAGACCCGGTCCCAGCCCCGGTCCCAGACCCGGTCCCAGACCCGGTCCCGGCCCGAAGCAGCACAGACCCGGTCCCGGCCCGGAGCACAGACCCGGTCCCGGCCCGAAGCAGCACAGACCCGGTCCCAGACCCGGTCCCAGACCCGGTCCCAGACCCGGTCCCGGCCCGGAGCACAGACCCGGTCCCAGACCCGGTCCCGGCCTCTCCCGCCCGCCCGCACTTTCCCCTTCGGTGCAGTTCCGGGCACAGCCGGCAGGGGCGCCGGTGGCTCCCGGCCGGGCCGGGCAGTGCGATGATTCCCCCGCGGCTGCAGGGGGCGCTGTGGCCCCACGGCAATGGCGGCGGGCCGGATGGCGCCGATGGGCCGAGCGGGAACCTCGGCGCGGGGTCTGGAACCGCAGGGACGAGCGGACTCCGGAGTAGCAAACGAAATGTAACAGGAACGGCGCAGCTGTAGCAGAGCCGAGGGGTGTCCCGGCAGGCAGGGGCGCTGAGTTCCAGGGCAGTGAAAAGCCCGGAGCAGCGGCAGAGAAGCGGCGGGGCCGGGCGGTGGCCGCTCGGGGGATCCCGGGGCCTCCCCTGAGGCACCCGAGGAGACGGAGAGGAGAGGACAGGGCCCTTTCTGGTGAGGCGGGTGCTGATAAGGCCCCAGTGACACGAGCAGAGTTTCACTCACGGCAGGAGGAGGCGGATCCCGCACAGGTGGCGAATTCTCCCCGCAGAGAGAAGAGCCGGAGCCCCTCCCGGGATCTCCGCCCTTCCCGAGACAATGCCCCTCAGCTGCCACAGTGCAGCCAGCTCCACTCCTCCCTTTTCTCCTTGGCCGTATCTCGTTTCTCTAAGTGTTGGTCGCTATTGTCTCTTATCAACAAATAGGAGAAAGTTCCCTGAGAGAAAGAAACAAATGATAAAATCCTAACCCCCAACAACAAATGACAGCAAAGTGTAATAACCGAACCTCATAATTTAACGATGAGATCACAATTCCATGGGCATCACTCCAGGGAAATCCAGCCTGCATAGGTGTGCAAAGCTGGGGACCAAAGCTGCGTGACCCGCATGTGCCAAAGGAAGGATGTGAGCACTAAAGCCATGTGGACTGAAAGGATTTGGGGAGGACAAGGTGTTAGACATGCCAAAGGAGTGCAAAAGGAACCGGTCAGTGAGCTTGGCTAAGGCAGCCCAGCTGCAGGCACGGGTTCAGGCAGGCTGGGGGCTCTCACAGCTGTCTGCAAAGCCACCTGGCAGCAGCTGCCCTTGCATCCTGCTTTATTTGTGCTCAGCTGGTGCCTTCCAGAGTGATGTGACAAAGCAGAGTGGAATGCCTTGTGTTCCCTGTGACTGGGAATAAGGCCATCATCCCTCCACACAGGAAGAGCTGCCTGGAGAAGAGAGAGGTAGGATGCGAAGCCCAGCACATGCTGTTCCCCATTTACCAGTTGAGGAATCGAGGTGGCACATGCCCTGCAAACATCTCCACCATGAACCTACACAGCAGTACAGAACTGGGCAAACAGCCAGGGCAGGAGCCAGACCTCCCCTTTCCCCAAAATGCAGCCTGGACACCCAGAGCATGGCCAGTGCTCTGCTGCTGGTGTCCCCAGGTGCCATCCCAAGGGGCTGGAGGTGCCTGTGGTGCCCAGGAAGGCTCTGGGCATCCTGCACAGGGAGATACAGACTCCTCCAGCACTCAGGGACTCTTATCACCCACCTGCAGCTGGGCCGAGGGAGGGGAGATGCAGCAGACCCTGTGATGTAAACAGGACTGGGCACTGCAGAACAGGAGGAATTGCCAAATTCGAGTTTTAGATGAGGTCCTGCATGAGCTGGCAGCTTCAGGGCATGGGAGGTCATTGCCCAGAGGAGGAGAGGGGGAAGCTTGGTGGGGTGGTACCCAGACAGACTTCCAGGTCTGCTGTCCAGGCCATCCAGCCCCTCTGGACTGTGCCCTGCTCACTCAAACAAGCTAGAAGTGCTGGGAAAGCTCAGTCCAGCCGTGAGCAGATGAGGGGATCATAGGAGTGGGAAGCAGACTAAAGACCTTCCAACCCATCTCAAACCTGCTTTCCTGGAGCCAGCCTGCAGGCTGTGCAGGTAAGTACTGGCTGTCTAAAAAGTGCTGAATGCTGTGACCTTTCCTTTACTCCTCTGCATTATCATCTTCAGGCAGTCCTCAAGTCTTGTAATTCCCACTTTCAGCAGTGAATCCTGTATCCCTTCCTGCTGATATGCTGGCATCCAGGATGGAGACAGTAGAAAGTGAGACCCTGATTCATGAGGTGGCGGAGATGAGTGGAAGAGGTGAGTTTTCAGAGGGGAAGAGGAGGGGTAACTGTCCTCTATTAAGGAAAAAATGCATCCTGTTTCTGCTATGGGACAACTATTGAAGGTCAAAGCACTGGGGCTTGTCTCCAGACTGGGCTTTTCATGTGCTGGGACTTGGTGGCTGCAACACTCCCAGCTGAACTCTTGGTGCTCCAGCACCAAAGGCTCCTGAACTGACATCCTTGGCCCCCTGCACTGCTTATAGAAAGAGTTGTGAATTTGGGGCCATGGGTTATGGGTCTTGAGTTAACCTCTACTGTGGCTGGCCCTGGTTTGTGCCCTGACCTGCCTGTTCTCCTTTTGCAGCACCAGAGACACCCAGGCTCAGGTCCAGGCTCAGGTGCACTGCAGGTGTGCACCCACCCACTCAGGTGCCACCTCCTCCTACGGGAAACTGAGGGCCCCTTGTCCAGGATGTGTGCAGGCCCCTGGGGTGGGGACAGGGTTGGGGCAACAGGGAGCCAGGGACAGTCCAGCTAGGGGGGTTTTCCCACTGCAGGGAAAAGGAATTCACCCTGTCCCTTCTCTTGCTGGGGTGGATGCAGCCCCAGGACTGCCTCTTCTGAGCAACTTTTCTTCCTCTGTCCCCAGCTGACGTGACTCTGGACCCAGACACCGCCAACCCCTTTCTCATTCTGGCCAGTGACCAGCGAGGGGTAGGACGCAGGGACGAGTGGACCTTGCTGCCCAACAACCCCGAGCGGTTTGACACGGAGCCGTGTGTGCTGGGCACCCAGGGCTTTGCTGAGGGGAGACACTGCTGGGAGGTGGAGGTGGCCGGGGCAGGAGACTGGTGGGCAGTGGGAGTGGCCCAGGAGTCTGTCAGGAGGAAGGGGGTCCTCAATTTTACGCCCCAGGAAGGGATCTGGTCTGTGGGGCAGTGGTTTGGACAGTACCATGCTTTCAGTGATCCTGACTGGACCCCACTGCACCTTACCTGCCTCCCCAGGGCCATCCAGGTCTGCTTGGACTTTACAGACAAGCAGGTGACTTTTGCTGATGCTGAGACTGAAGCCCCAATCTTTGCTTTCTGCTTGGCCTCGTGTGCTGGGGAGAGGCTGCGCCCGTGGCTCTGGGTGGGGATGGACTCGTGGCTCAAGCTGTGCCCCTGACAGGGAGGAAACATGGGGGGCGCAGCGGAGAGACTGGAAAGATGAACACCATCACCTTGGGTCTTGGTGCTAGGAACTGGGAGGGTCCTGCATCCTGCTGGCTTCTCCTCATGTGGATCCTCTGGCCAGCAAGGAGAGGACTAGCAGGTCATGGAAGTGGAGGCCACAGTAGAGACTCCTTCATCCCCCCACCCCTCGGCTGGGACTGCAGGGACAACAGGGAGCACAGAGACTGGGTGCAGGGAGGAGCTTGGTGCTCGTGGTCCCATGGCAGGGACCATCACTGAGAGCCAGGGCACTGCAGAACTGCTCTGTATGGAAAATACATGGCCATGGAAAATATAGCAGGGTCCAGTTCCTCCAAGGGGGCTGGAGTAGTGCCTCTGGCTTTTTTCAAGTAAGTTAAAAAAACCCAAACACAGCTGGATACTCATGATAACACTTATCTTCCCCACACATCCAGAGACTGTCCTTGCTTGATGTGCACCAAGCACATTTCTCGCAGCAGAGCACTGGTAGCAGTGCAAGGGCAGCAGTAGGGGCAGCCCAGGAAGGAAAGCACAATGCTGAGCTGTGTCTGAAATCCATAGGAGAGGCAATTCCCACAGCATGTCCATTCTCTGACCTTGCCCCATCAAGGTCCCACCTCACAGGATCCTGCTAAATCCTGTCCTTAGGAGAGAAGGTGGATGTAGGTGAAGGGGGACATTACCTGTGTCCAGCCTAGATTTCATCTCCAAACACTTTTCTGGTTGGACCTTTAGTGCCACCTCTGTTGTCGTCGTTGTGGTGGCATCTGGGCACAGGCAACAGTATTGGTCTCCCTGCTCTACTCCAGAAGCTGCAGAGTTGCAGCTCTGGGTCAAGCCCAGGGGGTTTCTTAGCTCTGCCCTAAGCCTCTTCCACTGTGGTAGCACCAAGACTGGGGAAACTCAGGGATCTCTGCTCCCAGTGAGGCACTTCCTACTCTCCATGGGCAGTAGCCTCTGAGACTGTCCTGGTTTTGCTTGGGATAGAGTTAACTTTCCTCTCAGTGGCTGGCAGAGTGCTGAGTTTGGGATTTAGGGTGAGAATAATATTGATAGCAACAACCAAATCATCAATCATGGGGTGTTTACCCTACATTTTCAGTGTCTCATGCTCTGCCAGCAAGGAGCTGCAAAAAAGTTGGGGCGGGAACACAGCCAGGACAGCTGACCAGGCCAGAGGGACATTCCACACCATAAAACATCCTGCCCAGTGTGTAAACTGGGGGAGCTGTTGGTGAGGGGCTGATGGCTTCTGGGGGGCGGGCTGGGCACAGATCAGTGGGTGCTGAGCACCTACACTGGGCAGCACTTGTTCCACTTGAGGTTTATATTTTTTTTTTCATTACAATTATTATTATCATTAGTATTATTACATATTACTTTATCTCAATTATTAAACTGCTTTTACCTCAAATCAAAATGTTTTTTTCCCCCATCTCCCTTGGAGAGTGGTGTGTGACTGAGTGGCTGTGTGGTGTTCAGTTGTCAGCTGGGGTTACACCATGACAGAGGTTTCACAGCAGAAGGTTGATGTATGGAGATGGCAGATTGTTAGTTCTTGGTTTTAGTCCTTTGTCATGCAAAACACCCCAAAAGAGTGGTGCTGTACATTTAGGGACACCTATCTTGATTCTTCTCAATCAAGAAGAAATTCCTTCCTGAAAGCCAGCTCCGTCCCTCAGACTGGAGAACAGTTGGGTTTTTCAACAGATTGGTGTCTGGGAATCTCTTCACTGGAATTTTGTGGTTTGGAGGGAGTAAATATTCTGCTCTGTTTTCCTTTTTGATGTGCCCCCCAAAATTTAAATTAAAAAAAAAATCAGCTGTCTGGGAGCTGAGTTTTGTAATTGCAGCATTTGTGTGAGAAATACACAATTTCATGTAGAATCACACCACAAAGATTCAGGGGAGCTGAAATTCAGCTCTCCTGTGCTAGAGGTCTCAGCATGTCAGAGCCACAACGGGTAGGAAGGCTTAAGGAACACCGGGGTCCCCGAGCAAGGCCGGACCCACACGGGCTCTGAGTAGTTCTGGGGAGACAATTGGGGCCGGGAGGTTTGTGCCAGAGCCAGCATGGGCATAGAGAGCACATCAGTGACCTGCTGCCCCCTCAACTGTGCCTGGACACGGAGGCCACAGGGCAACTCCCAGGCTCCCAAAGCCCTTGGTCCACAGCAGGATGTGATCAGAGCCCTGGGACCCTCCTGCTGCCAGGGAAAAAGGCTGCAGCAGTGGACAGTGGAAGCACCTCAACAAACATGCTCTTCTCTGCATTGGTCTGTCAGACATGCTCCAAACAAAGCCTGCCTGCATTTGGCACATCAGCGGAGCAACTGTGACTGAAGGCCCTTCCCATGAAACTGCTTCCTCTTTCCTGGTGAACCCTTTGTCTGGGACTTCTGCTCCTTTTACATTGCTTGTGCTATTGCAGATGCCACTTTTTCTTCTCCCCACCCTGTCAGATTGTTGTGTGGCATCAGAGTTTTATTTTAAAGGACAGGCTGAGCCAACCATGGCACTCTCTTTTTTTAAACCTTTTTTTCTTTTAATATAAACAAGCCCAGAAAATCCTTGATTTGAGAGCTTGGCCAGGAAACTCATTCAAGGTCTTGCCCAAGGCTAAAGCCTTGTCCAGGACCTCAGAAACGCATCCAACATTGGTGTTGCAGCGCTTTGAGTGGCACTTTAAACAGGCAGCTTCACAATTTCCAACCCCCTGCTGCAAGTGTGACCTGATCAGATTTGCAGCAGAGATCCGGGGCCAGGGGCCAAGGCTGCAGGGTCTCCTCACCACCCCACAGAACAGGGGATGGTGGCTGCCCAAGTCTCTGCCCTGAGGTTTCATGCCCTGCAGTCCCTGCCATGGGGCTGGCCCTGGATGCCTCTCAGAGCCAGCACACAGAGCAAGGCTCCTGCCCTGCTGCCAGCAGCTCCCTGACACTTGGGCACAGCTCAGACACACACACACGGCTCAGACACAGCTCGGACACAGCACAAACACACACACACGGCACATACACACCTCAGACACAGCCCGGGCACAGCACAAACACACACACATGGCTCAGACACAGCCTGGGCACAGCTCAGACACACACACACGGCTCAGACACAGCTCGCACACAGCACAAACACACACACACGGCTCAGACACAGCTCAGACACAGCCTGGGCACAGCACAAACACACACACACAGCTCAGACACAGCTCAGACACAGCTGGGCACAGCACAAACACACACACACAGCTCAGACACACCTCGGACACAGCTGGGCACAGCACAAACACACACACGGCTCAGACACAGCTCGGGCACAGCTCACCCTGCCCTCAGCAGGGCTCAGGCCACAGCGTGGGCTCGCAGACGTGCCCGGTGTCCCCACAGCCCTGGAGCGAGGGGCTGGGCTGCAGGGCGTGGGCAGGCTGGGGCAGGCAGCTCACAGGGCAGCATCAGGAGTCTCTGTGGAGCAGCATCACAGCAGCATCAGGGTTCCTCCATGCAGCTCATACACACCCCTGGCCAAACCAGGGGCCAAAGGACTCGGCCCAAACATCATCACCTTGCCTGGTGCCCATGCCAGGCAGGCTTCTTTACACTGACAGAGAAACTGCCCAGAAATGAAAAAAGCCCCTGGTTCTGTCCAGCTTTGAAACCTCCTGCTGGGGTCCTGGGGGCAGGCCAGGGTAGCTGCTGCAGGCAGGGAGTTCTGGGGTGCTCTCAGGGAGGCAGCCTGGGCTCTGGAGCCCTGGCCCCTCCAATAACAACACAACAGCCCAAAGTTTATCTCACTTTTATTTACATCATTGCACAGCCCGTTTCCCCAGAACGCATTGGAACGTGGTGGGTCAGACACCAATTGCCCACGTCCACGAGCTGAACATCTCTGGGAAGGAGGACAAGTCTCAAAGAGTCACTACTGGGTCTTGTGGGGGCACATGCAACAGCTCCAATTATTGGCAATGACAACAAAGCCAAGGATGCTGAGTGCAGCCACAGCCACACACAGACTGGGCCCCCAGTGCCCCAGCCAAGGGCTTCTGGCTTTCACAATTGCATATTTGGATTGACAGTGGGTTTCTTAACTGGAACACTGGCTTAATGAAGACCTTACCCTGGGGACATGCTATGGGAGACAGCATCCCTCATCACCTGCCAGAACTCGGTGCCTTGTGGGGCCAAGCTCCTGGGAGACAGCCAAGGCTGGGAAGGTTAAACTACCCCCTGTTTTTCTTCTCTGGTGATGTCCTGGTGACAAGGGGGTTGCTGGGAAGGGCAGAAGGAAGGAGCACCCAGGACAAGGCACAGAGCAGGGGAACAGAGCCTGCTGCCATGGAAGGGGTGTGCAGGGCGGGGAGCGCCTGCATGGGAATGGGATGGCGCTGGAGTGGGGACTGTGACTGGAGCTGGGCTGCAGCAGCCTCTCCACCAAGAGGAGCAGAAACAGTAATCCCTGCATGAGTACATGACGGGAAAGGGGCAGACACCCACAGGTATGTGGAAGAAGGGAAGGGACAGTCGGGGGACTGGCTGAGAGAGGGGAGCAGAGATGTGCAGCCTGGCTGTAGCAGAGGACACTGACCCCACAGTCACACCAACCCCTCACACCTGGAAGAGAGACCAGCACAGAGCAGCCCTCAAGCAGAGAGGCTGCTGCAAGGTGTGTCAAGGCATCCCCAAGCTGCACCTGGGAGAGGGAATAGAGGAGAGCAGACAGACACCAGGGCCAAGGGCTGGAGCAATCCTGCTGGGCAAGATGGCACACTGGTCCCTGCTGCTCAGGCCACCAGCAACTTCCAGCTCAGGCTGAGGGAACACAAAAGGAAACACATCCTGTTTTGCAGCTAGAGAGGAGGAGGAGGAAGTGCACATAGTGCTTTGAATTCAGGAAATTACAGATCTCCATCTCACAGGGCATTGCGCTGACCCACTTGCTTTCAGCAAAGGGGCAGAGGGACACAGTGCATGACCACCACCACCCACTGCAAGGACACAGGTCCCTCAGAGCCTGCCTCTTGCCTGCTCTCTATCCTCACCACCATGGAGCCAGGGCCCAGGCTCCAGCAAAGGAGCTGCACACACCTCTGGAGCACTTGGCAGGGCAGCATCACCACCAGCATCCCCACAGCCTGTGCCACTCGGCAGACTCAAGACAGCTCAGCACCAGGCACTGTCTGGCAAGGTGAGAAGGGGCAGAGGCAAGGACCAAAGCCAAACCAGGAGGACTCTTGGCAGAGGGGGCATTCTGAGACAGAGGCCTTTGAGAGCTGCATGTGCTGGAAACACAGGTGAAAGGAGGAGGAGAAGGAGGAACACCAGCCCCATAGGACGAGGGACCCAAGAGCCTGTTCTCTGGGACCAGCAAACTGGGGGAGTTTTACTAGAGGACACAACAGGCAGGCAGCGCTACCAGGGATGAACCCAATCCCAGCAGCTCCTTTGGAATGTGCAAATAAAGCGCAGAGACAGCCAAGGGCACCCGCGTCCTGCCAGCGCCGCAGGGCATGGCCTGTCCCCTAAGGTACGTGTGAAATTGATGCTACAGGAGGTCCAGCCTCAAGCTGGCACAAGGACATCAGCAAACAGAGACTCCAACGCCCACCTTCTGGGGTCAGGAAAGCTCCTTTCTCAATCTTTTCAAAGCAAAGGCAATGGTGGGTTTAGCTAGTACGGAGCCATCTCTTCCTACCCTCGGATCCTCCATCTACCTTTGCCAGACAGACCAAGGGCTGAGTGTATCCGAGTCCTGGGATAAGCCAGGATCTCAAGGAAAGCATTTTGTGAGATCACGTCTGCACCGGAAAAGATTCTCTCATTCTGAAACTGATTCTGAAATTCTCAAAATTACAGTACTTTACAATACAAAATGTCTCCAGTATTACGACATTTTACTCCTTCTGGGATTATAATAATTATTAAAAACACTCAACTTTCTAGAAAGGACAGAACACCACAAAAGAGACAAAAGAGTAATGGGAAGGCTGCTGCAGTATATCAAAACCAATTTAGTGCAAAGGAGAAGGGACTTTCAAGAATGGTTGATGAAAAGTGTTCCTCATATGCTCATTTGGAGAAAAGGCATTGATTTAACCTCTGAATGAGATCAGGTTGCCAGCTTCTATCCTGAAGCTTAGAACATCAACACAAAAGGATTGAAACACAATATGCATAGCCATTTAAAAATAATATTATATATAGATATATATAGAGAGAGAAAGAGGGAGATGTTTTCCATGTATGGTATTTCGTTATAGGAAAGGGTCCCTGCAGACAGGCATGTTCTGCCATCAGGCTCTTCTGGGCCGTTTCACCCACAGATGTTGATTATGCGTCTCTTTGCCAAGGTCTAAAGCAGGTGCTGAGCGCAGAGTCCCTTTGGGTGGGATGACTGTTCTCCTGTGTCCCCACAGCTGCC